AAAAAAAAAAAAAAAAAAAAAAAAAAAAAAAAAAAAAAAAAAAAAAAAAAACTGCATCCCGGGCCAACCACATTTTGTAAACAAACACATATGGATTATAATGTTAATACAATTCGGATTTGAAGGCTTCCTGCATTGCCTCCGACCTAAAGCGAATCAAATGTCTCTCACCTTTCTTCTTCAAGAAGGCTCTCCTGGTGGCCAAGGGACTCTGACATACTTTTGGGTTTTGTAGAAATTGTACAGCGGTGGTAATCTGGGAAGAGACAAATGCGATTTAATTCCTCATAATGAGATAATGTGAGAGGATATGGTCTGCAGGAAAGTGATGCTTTTAACAGTACAAACAACACTCTAGACCTTCTTTAAGGAAAAGGTTCATTATGAATCCAGACAAAATCATAAATGGATTCAATTTGATAGTTTGCTTCTAAGACCCCACACCCAGCAGCGAGGAGAAAGACCACCTGACCACTTTCCAGCTAAATGTGGGGAATGACCAAATCAGCAGTTATAAAATTAGCCCATCAAGAGTGCTGGACAAATGGAGTATGGAGCTTAATTTGCTATTACCCTCTTAAAGACAAACTTCCATTCTTAAGTGCGCAGTGGAAGAAAATCTATACTTAATGCAGAGGTGATCATTTGTATCTAATAACTTGAGAATCCTAGGCTGAAAACTTCTGTAATTCTTCCAGTTAAAAACCTGCCATGATCAAATCACCCAGCCTGAATGTTGTAATGACTTGAAACGTTAATGCACTAGAACGTTAAATAGCATCAGAACATCAGTAGTTTTAAGTGCACTGCGTTCATCGATTCTATTATGTTTTCCTTCGAGATGCACCTTAATTTTCCACCCAGTATGCATTTCCAAGAATTGGAGGGAGAGGAAAAAAAATAAAAAAATCATCCTCAAATGGCATTAAAACATAAATTTGGAGTGGGCGCCATGAAGTGGCGCCTCCTAAAATAGATAAATATGTAAGAACACAGAGAAAGGGGAAAGACACTGGAGGGGAGGTTTAGATGACTTATTATCGCACCTGTGGTCCCCGTGATTCAATTGTAAAAGTCATCCCTCTAATAGGTTGAAAGGTTTTGATTACTCTTCTTTTCTCTTAGTGTTGAAAGATACAAAGTGATTGAGCGCCCTGCCAGTGGTAATTCGTTTTGGGTAATGCATTGCATATACTATGAACCGGTTTCAATCCAAAAGAATTGCAGTTTAAACTTGTCCGAGGGGGTAGGTGTGGCAAGGGAGGCTGCATTAAGGGCTAGATGTCTGTGACAAGCAAACAGTTACAGTAGAGGATCACGGCAACTTGATGGAACTTCTGAAAATATATTTGACCCGTCTTCAGACGACTGTGAATCAGCTCAAAAGTATATCATAAAATATACTGCAGCATCCGGAGACTTGCTGCAGAATTAGACTATTATGACGGTTTAAGAGAAATGCAATAATGAAACTTTCAATAGGGAATTTGACCAAAATGTGCCAGATTCATCCCAAGAGATGGCGGCCCAATCTATTTAGACACTAATCTACCATTCCACTGTGACACTACCGTGACCTTGATGTACATATGGGTTAAGCAAGGGGTATGGAATCTCCTGTTTCTCTATATGCTGAGGGCTTATTAAAGTCAGTCACCCGGAACCTTCATTGTGACAAGCAGATTAAACCATTTGCATGGTGGACCCCCCCAACTGATGTTCTGGGCCAAAAGATGCCGTCAAAACACGGAGAAAATATCCACTTTGATAATAAGACAAAATCATTGTGCTCTTGGCGAAGCTCTTACTGCTCAAGTAAGTGAGCCAATGAGACTACTTGTGGTAAAAAGGCAGAAACCAGAGATAACAAACACACTGAAATCTAATATTCTGATATTTATTCCAGTAAATAACGGGAGTGATGTCGGCCCCGTGAGTGGTAATGGCCTAATAGAGGATTGAAAACGCTGAATGAGCAAACCTTGTTTGCATTCTCTTCAAATTTCAAGAGCCCAACATTGACAGGAAAATTGTGTCAATGTTAATAGGCGTAAGTATGACATCTTAGTAAGGGCCACGGCTAGCTCAGCGGCAAGCTAATGAGGCAACTGTCCATTTGGTTAAAATTGTAGTGGTAGATCTTCAGGGAGAGGAAAAGTGCACTTCTTAGCAGATGACATAGACGCTTTGCACAAGTTCCACCCAGACATCTCAATCAATTATAACCACATTGCAGAGATTTCAGTCTTGTCTTGTTATTGACTTATGGATCATCC